GCTACGCCTCCAGTAGGAAATGAAGAAAGGCTGTGCTGTGCTGATCTGAAGGAAGTGGTTCTATAAAAAGTCTATAGCCAGGCTTTTGAGACTGCTGGCTTGTTAATCTCAATATGAAAGAGGACTGAGAACCTTTCATGTTCTGCTATGACACGATGACGAGTTGGCTATGTGTTGCTACAGGGTTTGACCGATACTGATCCGGGTCATAGCAGAACATGAAAGGTTTTCAGTCCTCTTTCATACTGATATGTATATATATATATATATATCAGATATATATATGAGATATATGTATATGATATAGAAAATTAAATATAGATAATATAATATATATATATCTATATATATCATTATATATATATATAATATTAATATATATATATATGTGTGTGTGATATATATTTATATTATAGTATGTTATGCTATGTTAGTTTTAAATTTAATTTTATATAATAGATTAAATTTAATAACTACATGATAAGAGAGAATACCATGTTAGTTTTATAATTTGAATTTCTAAGATACATTTGAATTAGATATGATATTATGGATTAAATTTATGAGATAAATTTAATTAATTTTTATAAGCTTTTAAGTGAAAGATGAAAATCTTTATCTATATACTATATATAATAGGGACGTTCTTATGAAGGATGAGAGAGTTGGAAAAGTTTCTAATAGCAAAAACACTCTGAGAGCCATGAAACACCCCATAGAAAGGAAAATTAACGTTTTTAAAGAAGAACAGACGCTGAGAGTGCTAGCACATTGTTCGAGTTAGAGAGCTGTTTCATGTGGATACTGGTAGAGGGAGCAATCTCCCTTTGTCATCTCCTGAGATCCAATCGTCCGCCAACTTCAAAGAATTAAAAGGGACTACTTCTATTCACCTTGACTGACTTAAACGAGTTCGTTCGGCCCATATCAGGATAAAGACTTTAAATTTTAGTCTTTTACTGCACCTTCCTATCCAACATCACTTGCCATGAGAAGGTTGCTAATATTATGAGCAAGTTAATATTCATGTTTCATGAATATCAAGTCTGGGGACATCTACCAATCTTGGAGTTGGTGGGGCTGCAAGTGGATCAAGTTATAGAGTTCAACAGTCACTACTCATCATTCTTCCTTGGCTTCAAGTACTTCAACATCAACCTCTTTATGATGGATTTGATGTAAGTTTTAAATTCCTTGTCTTTTTAAATTCTTTCACTTTTTCACTAATCTAGTCTTTATTTGATATTTTTTAATCCTTTATAAATACATTATGCAAGATTATCAAGATATTTATGCAATTATGGATCATTCTTCTTTGAATAAGTCTGAACTTAAAAATTATTTAGAGGAACGATTACTTAAGCCTAATAGTTGAAAGAATTGGATGTCTTGAACTGGTAGAGAGTAATCAACATCGACATCCAATTCTTTCAAGGATTATAGCTGATATTCTTAGCATTTCGATCACTATAGTAGCTAGTGAATCAACTTTAGCATCGGTTCACGTGTCCTAACTGAAGTTCCATTCTTCTATTAATGTTTAGGCTACTATTTGTGTTCGTAATTGGTTACATGGTTTTGTGTTTAATGGTAATTTTAATTTATATTTATTTTATTTTTTGCCATACAAACAACATAATAAATAATAACTATAATTGTGTTAGTAGTTTTGTTTATTTTTGTTGCAGATGAAGGTAAAGAAGAAGAAGAAAATATTGATATTTTTGCCCCTGATGAACCAGTTATAAGTGGATCACGATTGAATTTTGTTGAGCTTGATGATAGTGAAGAAGAAGAAGAAGACAATGATGATGCTACCAATGTTTGAGTTATTAAGTATTTATGTGTATTGATTTAAAGATTTTAATGAGACTGTGGTTCTTGATGGTGGATACTAGATAGATTCAGCTGATCTTAGTTTATTGCATGATATCATTTTCATTTGGATTGTGTTTCTAACATCTTGCTCATTTAGATGTTGTTTTGTTTGTTTGGTTATTGCTACTTGTTGTTGAGCTTTTGCAACTTGTTTATTGTGGTTGGTTAGTTTGTTTATTTTAAAAAAAATGAAGAAGAAAAAAGGCTAAAGGGCCTAAAGCCCTCAAGGCCAACCTAAGCCCGTTATGTTTAGGGCAAAGCTTCAGTATTGAGCCCCTCAAAAGAAACTCGAGTTAAATGAGCTGATTTTTTTATGATGCTGAAGCCCATCAAGGGATGGACTAGCCTGTTTTTTTAGCTCTACCAATTGCATTTGATTAGCACTATGGCTCTTGAATCATCAGATAAAATCAAAATCACAAACCTTGTTTACCCAAAAAAAAAAAAAAAAAGAAATCGCAGTGCGTGGGGCTGTGGGAGTTGAAGAATCCAACCGTTCAGGGACCACATCCTTTTAAGGATAAGGCTACCAGAAAATCTTTTCCTTTTCTCTTTTTTTAATTTCTTTCTTCCCCCAACCTATCTCCACTACTTTTAACTAATAACTAATAGAATGTATATTTAACTTTATTTTATAAAATAATTATCATAATATGATATAAAAATAAACAAATTTAATTATTAAATTTTAACCTACGCAGTATTATTAAATTTTTTATTTATTTTATTATAATTATAAACGGTTAATCAAGTTTTAACGGTTTAAAATTATTTCTTTATGTTTAATATATACTATGATAATTTTTTTTATGAAATAATTAAATCTAACCCATTATTTTTTTATAAATGGGCAGAGATGAGATGAGGAGAGGAATGATAAAAAAATGAAGATGGGAGAGGATATGCTCCATAAAATTAGCAACTAAGTTAGCTTATCTTCTGGTAAACAAGAAGTCAATAAAGACGAAGATCTCAAAATTTTACAACATCTCAAATTTTGGACGAGATGGAGGAGGTTATGGTTGGGAGAATTGTTTTTGAGTTTTTGAAAGAAAATATAATTGAGATACTTATTAAATAAATAAATTTAGTCACTCACCCAATTCAATTATATTTATTCTTAATCAGATCTCACTTCCACAGAATAAATCTTTTGATATCATTTTGCAACTTTGATGGGTTACCCTAAAAGCTTGACATTTTACTATTTATCGGTTAACTGTACATCAACTACATGACTGATATATGAGAAATATTCTTCTTGATTTCTTTCATAAGTTACTTTCATCGAAATTAAAATAATTTTAAAATTTATTAAAGGAAAATAGCATTCAAAGACTATTGTATAAAATTTATATCCCATAAGAACCAAATAATTGGTTTGTACGTGTTAATCATTCACTGAAAAGTATTTTGTTTGATTTTGACAACAACCTATTCTAATTGACAATAATATATTGAAAACATTTAACAAGTAAAATAAGTGAAGTTTTGAAGCCCTCAATTTATAATTGTCTATGTTAGATAAACAAGTAATATTCGTAAAATAACAGTTCCGTTAACAACACACAAAAATGAAAGTGATTTTGTGCTTGATTTACTACTTATAATTTTTTTGCTATATATATATATATATATATTGAAGGGCTTGGTAGGCCATCAAACTTTTGAGATGGCCAAGGATTATGGGATTTAACCCATCTTTGGCCACCTAAATACCTCAGTTCTGAAATAAAATGTCACCGGAGTTTCAGTGACCGGCCGTTGATAGCAGGGGCTTTGGCAACCTCATCGTTGGTGGTGGTTCAACAGCTAACACCAACGCCGATGGGTGTTTCTTTGTTTTTTTTTGTTTTTTAACTATGAGAGACATTTTGATTTTTTTTATGACATTAATATGTCAGAAGGATTAGATGACTACAATGCTATTATCAAATTATTTGATTCTATGGAATATAAATTTTACACAATGGTCCTTGGATGCTATTTTTCATTTATTAATTCTATTTAAAAATTTAACAAATTATGAATTTCATCCCTATTAATATATACATGTTTTAAATAATGTATTTTTTCTCATATTTAATGATAAGTAAAAAAGAAAAATTGTGATAAAAATTTAATAAATTGATTTATAAATAAGTTTAAAAAAAAAATCTTATCTCCCTGTGTTAATACCGGATGGAGTATATATATTGAGATGAGATGATATCAACAGTTTGATTCTTACAAACGGGTTTCTTAAGGGTTTGTTTTTGAGGGGAGGAGAGGGGAGGTGACGGGAGAGGAGGGAGGGAAGGGAAGGGAAGGGAAGGGGGGGAGGGGGAAGGGAGGGAGGGAACTCCCCCCAATTTGGAGGGGAGGCTTTGGAGGGGAGGGGAGGGAAAATTTTAAAAATTTCCCTCCCCTCCTCCTAACCAAATGAGGGGAGGGGAGGGGAGGGGCTCCCCTCCCCCCCAACCAAACAGGGCCTGGCCTACTTTTATTTGTAAACCAATCGGTTTAAATTCTGGTTCTTGACTAGAATTGACCATAATATTGCATGCTTCTTTCGTTGGCTTCCTCAGACTCTGATCGCTCCTCCCAGATTCTATGCCCTCCAGCAAATTCTACTATGCAAGTATAACGCTTCGTCTTCCTTCCACTCTATCCACAGTTTCTAGTCTCTTCTTTCATCATCGATCCTTCTTGAATGCATTCACCATTTATAGCATTTAGATAAAAGAAAAATAGCTTCGTGACATTATTTCTCATTTCGATTGCTGGAAACTGCTCTTTTCGAGACTTGTACGGAGATCTCTTGGTTCCCCGCCAATTTCTTGGTTCGTACCGGAGATTTAGGCCAGAAAATTAGGGTACATTAATTGCATGCGATTTTTTTTTTTAACACGGGTATTTATATTTGTATTTTGTACGGACGCTTAGTTCCAAATTGAAAATAATGGAGTTGGCTCTGAATGCTATTGAACTAAGTTACTTGATAAGGCCACATCTACGCTACGTATAAATAGTTTTTTTTTTTGGCAGTTAATGTTATTTGATCACTATTGATCAGTGCAAGTGTGACAAGAGGTCAGAGGACATCAAGCAAAATTCTTGGGGGGAAGATGGCATCATCACTGGTTGATCTTTGTGTTGAGAAATGGTTCAATAATGTATGGCTTCTAGGAGATGTTTGTGGAATTGACGAGTATCTTCTCGGCCAAATGTTGCCGCTCTGCTCTGTGGACCAGTTAAAGCATGTGGAAGTGTCTACTAAAGTAAGATGAACTTATTAAATAAAATGTGAGAAGTCTAGTTATGATTGGGAACAGTAAGACTGAATTTTTTATTTCAATATGATTTTGCAGGGAAGGAATTTGAGTCCGATAACAAATAAATTGTGGAAGGCATTTTATGAAAAGCACTTTGGTAACACCAATGAAGATGAAGTGATCGAGAATTTGGAAGAATTCAAATGCCGTTCAAATGGAAGCCGTTGCATGAGGTAATTTTTTCTCTCTAAATCTCCCATAAAATCATGACATTGTTAAAAATATTTTTGAAGAAAAAAAATGTGTGCTGAGTTGTGAACAAAATTTAATTTGTATGTTTTTAGTTTTTTTTTATTGTTGTAAATTTAGTTTTCCCTTTTCTGATACAAATACATCCCCGTATACATTGCAAATAGTTTGGTAGTTGAAAGGGTGGGTGTTGTTTTTTTGGGAAGAGAATTCTGTTTGATAGCTATCGTAACTAATGTAACACTCTTGCAGTATAAAGTGGAGGAGACTAAAGCTGTGGAGCGAATGAGGCGACTAGTTCTCGAGCAGTATGAATATGATTGTATGTTATTTACTACTCTACACGTTAATCTAATTACTTTTTACAGAGCTCCTCATTGTTACTTTGGCAGCATGCAATACTTTACAAAATTAGTTAATTGGTATTATACTTATTCATGAGGATTTTTTAGGAATTTAAAGTAGTTGGACTCATACACTTTTTAAATGTGAAGAAACTAAGTGCGTGTTTTGGTTTTCACTTTACATCTGGCAAAAGTCCATTTGAGAGATCCAAATATTTGTTGGATTTGACAAAAGCATGTCCCATATATGATTTAAATGTACTTTGAACAAGCCTTTAGATTCAATGGTATCCCTAGAAGTTGAGAATAAGTGGGAAATACTTGGAGGCCTTTTCCCTCAATCTTATGTTAGTAGATCTCAGAATGATAAGGAATTGCTCGGTCTATGCCATGATAGGAAACTGGCATAGCTTATTTTAGGTGATCAGCTAGATCCATGGGTTATGGAAGGTCAGATTTTCAACTGCTTTAGAACTTATCAGGGATATTTTCATCAGTGATCCGAGAAGCGATAGTTTTCAAGAGTTCTGTTTGTGTCCAAGCTGTTAATGTGGCATAACCTTGGAAGACTTAAAGATGAAGATAGAGATATGGTGAATGGGGAGGCTTGCTCACGTTTCTCACATGTTGGAGAAGATCAAGCGCAAGTTAAATTCTTAGAAGTAACGACAAAATATTTTTAAGACTACCAAATATAATATGCTCCAAGATTTTCAATAATATTAATTCCTAATCCTTTGGAAATTCAACTTTCATGGGATTTCTCAACAACTATTATAACTATCTATTGGACAGTGCTATTCAATAGTTGACTTTTCTTTTTTGTTTAGTTTGAGAATCTTGGGTGTACTAACCTAGCAAGTCTTTCCTTGTTTTCTTTTCTTTTCTTTTCTTTTCTTTTTAAATTACTTAAAAGGCTTTGGCAGGTTAAGGATGGTTAAGTTTTATCGCAATATGCAAATTATTCTTTGGTCCCTGTGAGTGAAGCAGGATGGGTGGTTTTTAGAGGGGAAAATCTGTCTTTAGACATGCCATGCTATAGATTTTTATGGGGTTTTAAGAGTACTTTTTTTTTTTGTCAACTATCTTTGGTTCGATTCCTTTTCCTTTAACTGATTTGTTGAGGACAGATATTGTATCATCATATACCAATTCTTGGCTGGTTATGTGTTTGACTGTTTTCATGGTTGAAATAATTGCCGTGAATTGCTATTTCTTAACGTGCACCCTCTCCCAACCTCTAGTTCCCCGTTCAATTGGACATTGGTTGTGTGTCCTTAAGATTTAATTTCACCAGTCTGCAGTTCTTACTGATCATTTTATTACTGAGAATCTGTTGCAGATCGTGGTGCTGAATATAATGGATTCAATCCAAAGGCCAAGGAAGAGGTAGACTCTCTAAACAGGTACATTTCTCTCTTTCCTTTGTTCTTTATTTACTTCTTGCTTCTTTTCATTTTGTTCTTGACCTAAGGCTTCCCAGCATGTTTAGTCAAGTCCAACCAAAATCGGCAGCTAGATAGGAAAATGAATTCTAAATGCAAAACGCCAACTTGGTGGGGCTCAGGCACCGACGAAATGGCTAGTTGGAGCATATATTTACTGGAGAATGACACTTAAGTCTAAAGGATGGAATTAATGACAGTTGGGTCCTTAATAAAATTTTCTAAAAATAAATTACAAAAATTGATTTAAATAATTGTAATTGAAGAGTTCTAATTGTAGATGAAACATTTGAGTTCCAAATGTAACTTTTAATTTATAATTAGAATTTTTGTTTATAATTGTTTGAATCAATATTTATAACTTATTTTAAAAAAAATTTGTCAGGATCTAACTGTGATCAATTCTCCCAAGTCCTTCTCTCTATATTTATCATGTAGACTTATAGGTTTAATATGAGGCCTCAAGGTGAAAGAAGTAAAAGCCTGCAGCCTTTGGAATCACAGCAGTGACAAAACTGGGAGAGAAAACATTCCAATTCCATTATATTTATCAAGGGAAATAGAGTAACGGTTTCTTTGATAGAAATCGCAAGAAATATTGTTCTGGAATCAAAATCCACTTCTAATTTTTCATCGTGAAGCTTGCATGCCCTAGTTGATTTTGACTTCACGTATTTTAAACTCAAGTTCTTGGGTTAAAAAAAAAAATTGCAGTGGTGAACGACTCTGTTTGGAATTCATCAAACATGGTAAAATTCTAATGAATTTTAAAATCAAATTTATGTATGCAATTATACATAGCTGCTTTCTTGTTTTAATGGCCAATGGCAGTTCTACCTTTCTGGCCAGTATAAATAATGTGTTCTATGATTTCTTCTTGACGCTTATATGCTCTACTGGATTTTGGCTTCAAGTATTTTAATTTTTTTTTTTTACAGTGAAGAAGAAGAAGAAGAAGAAGAAGAAGAAGATGATGATGATGATGATGATGATGATTATGATGATCACGACGATGACGACTATTATGATTATGATCATGATTATGGTTATTATTATTATGATGATGAGGAAGGGGAGGAGGAGACTTATCTTGAAGTAGGAGAGAAATTGGAAGAAGTTTTTGTTGAAGAGGTAGAGGAAGTGTAAGGGGAAGAACAGACTCAGATTGGAGAGGGAGAAGATGATGGGGATGAGAGTGACGCAGGGCAAGAAGATGGTTGTGGTGATGACTGTGATGATGATACTTGTGGTAACGATTATTATGATGATGGTTATGGTGATGACTGTGGCTACGATGATAGTTATGGCGATGACTATAGTTACGATGATGATTATGGTTGTGATTATGATTGTGATTGTGATGAATATTAGCCTCTTGTAATAAACATTTTGGATAGACCTAAAGCTTTCTTGTTAGGTGTTTTTTACTCTCTTATTTTAACTTGGATGCTATGGTAAGAACGCACCTTTTGAATCACCTGTTGAAGTGCCTGTTGAAGTGCCTGTTTGGATTAAGAAAATAATCAATTTTTTCAGTTAACAAATTGATTAATAAAAAAAGAAACACCCAAACATCAAATTTTTCAGTTAATCGATTGTTGGGGCAAAGTCGATTTTTCTCCTAAGCTGTATTTGTGAGCTTCTGTGAAAAAGTTGATCAAAAAGTATTGAAAAAAATTACACAAAAAGGTCCAAAAAAAATTATAAAAAAGATACAAAATTTAATAAAAATAAAACTAAACTTTCTTTTTTTCTTAATAAAATTTGAACTTTGTATCTTCAAAAAAAGTTGCTAGCATAAATTTTTGTCAACCACCGCATTCCACTTAGCACTTACTATAAAACTAATTCAAATAAAATATTAATTAGTAGAGAAAATTAATTTAATTTAATTTAAAATTTAAAGTTATTACAAAAATTGTTGCAAACATTTAGAAAAAGAAAAATTTTGCATCATTTGTTACATTGCTATATTTTTTATGTTGCCAAAATTTTAAGACGGTGCTTAACATCTTTATCAAATATGGCTCATATCCATGATGTCATTAGAAATTAACTTGTATATTATCATTTTCATTAGTTATTGTAAAATTAATGTTTGATATTTAAGAATTAAATCTTTGTCTTTATTAAATTTATTTGAACTAAGATATATTGAGTTATTTATTTACATAAATTAAATTATTAATATTAATATAATTTAAATTTTTATAATTAATCATATTTATAATTTAAATAATATATTTTACTTCTTAAATAAAATTTAATAATATTAGATACAAATATATTAATAATTTAATTTTAAAAAGTAATGTCCTTTATAGTAATTTATATAATTAAAATTGATTCTGACTAAATTATCCAAATGTCTTTAATTCTACTAAAATTAATTTTAGAAATAATATCCAAACAGATTGCATTATAACATAATTAATTATGATTAAAACCAATCATATTAATTAATTATTTTTATAATAAATTATACCCAACTGAAATTTAAACGGGCTTGAATTATTATTTTAAATTCGTGTAACACATAAAAAATAACGCTTAATATTATCATTTTGATTAAAAAATAATGAATGGAAATGGAAATACTTCAAAGCATCCAAGTATTTAGGGTTAAATTATACCTATTGATTTTTTTCCGGAATATCCAATATCCTTAAGTGAAGGGCAGTGCAAGAGTACCCATAATGTTGATGAAGTAGGTGCAAAAATATTCAAACTGTTAAATTTGGCAAACGTTGGCTAACATTAACTCTTTTTAAAAAAGAAGTAAATGTAAGGTGCAAAAATACTCAAACTTTTTATTTAGGAGTTTTTGTTATCCTTAAATTGACAATGACACATGAGTACCCATTAATTTTATAAAAGAGGTCATATAGCCAAGCTTAACCTTAACAAATCAAGTTTGTTTGAGCTGGCTTGAATACCCGAATTGTAAAATATTATTTTCTTTTATTTTTTTTAGTCAATTTCAATTTTTATCTTAAAAATTAATATTTTTCAATATTTATTAAAGATGAGATTTTATTAAAGATAAATTAAACGATGCAGAAAGGGAGAATTACGTTAAAGTCCTATACAAAAAAAATTAATTATTACAAGGTCTATTAACAATTAAACTAAAGTTATTGTGTTGTCAATAGACTTAGTTCAGTTGTTAATAATAAACCTCATGTCAATTAATTTTCTTGTATGAAACCTGTATATAATTCTCCCCCGTTGAAATTTTCGAGATCATGTGACTTGCATCACTACACCAGCTATGCAAGACATGTGGAATGGCAAATCTTCTTCTACCTTCTCACCTATGAGTGGCATGAGACCCATCATCACCATTTATTTTTGTGCTATGGAGAGTCTTTCTCAAGCCATTATGGTAAAGGTTAAAAATTGGAATGTAATTAAGGGTGTTTTTCTCTCACACACTTATTTTTTTACAAAAAACCTAATTCTTTTTGGTGATAGTTCTAACTCTCAAATAGTCAAATTGAAGTTATTCAGCATGTTATGCATTAGTTTTGTAGATCCTTATTAGGAAAAATTGTGAGTCAATCTAAAACTCATTTATTTTTCCAAGAATTAATGTTAATATTGCATGCAATGTTTTTTTATAGTAAATGAGGTTTTCATTAGCATACAAATTCTCTTGATAGATATCTCAGTGTATCTTTAATCAACATGAGAAAAACCGCCAAAACTTATAACTATATCTTAGAGAGGCTGCACCAAAAGCTAGCAAGATGAAAAAGTTAGTCTCTTACTTTTGCTGGACTTACCACACTTGCAAAATTTGTCCTCACAACTATCCCTTATTACACTATATATGCAAAATAACACGCTTTTCCTTCTTACTGTAATGTAATTGAAAATCTTGTTAGGAAGTTTATATGGGGATACTTGGATGATCATTTGGTGCTAGCTTGATTAAATGGAAAGACCTCTATCAACCATTGATAAACGGGGGATGTGGCCTCACTAACCTTAAAGCTCTAAACAAAGCCTTCTTCTCTAAGCTAGCATGCAAAATATGTAGTTTCAAAGCCTAACCTTCTTTGAGTACGTGTTCTAAGAGGAAAATACAATCTTCAGGATATATAGCTTCTCTTCTCAACATCAATATGTAGGATTAATTCCTCTTACCTATATAAAGAGAATCACTTTGCTGAATAATATTTTTATTGAACCCATTGGGTTTTTGGAACTGAATAACGCACACGAAGAAAAGAAGGGCACACTATATATAAGGCCCAGAATAAAGGAACACGCCTAAAAACTAAACCAAAATAAAATAAAATTCAAAGACATTAATCTGGGAGCATTTAAACATATTAATCAATATTTTCTACACTCCCTCTCAAGTTAAAACCAAAAATATTTATAGTTCCTAACTTGGTCAACATTCTCTCATGACCTAATCTACTTAAAGCTTTAGTAAAGATATCTGCTTGTTGATTTGAAGAACACACATGTTGTAACTTAATCAACCCTTCTTGAATCTTCTCACGAACAAAATGACAATCAATTTCAATATGTTTTGTTTGTTCATGAAACACCGAATGCGAAGCAATTTGAATTGCTGCCTTACTGTCATAATGTATCAAAATGGGAAGAGGATTCTCAACCTTCAAGTCTTTCAACAAACTAATCAGCCAGATAATTTCTACTACAGTACTTCCTAAGGCTCTATATTCTGCTTCTGTTGAAGAACGTGAGACTATTTTCTATTTCTTTGATTTTCAGACAATGGGTACTCCTCCCATTTTGATGACATATCCTGTTACAGACCTTTAAGTGTCTGCACATACTCCCCAGTTGAAATATATCCTTCAAGAATTGTTCCTCCATCAAAGGCAAAGAAAATGCCTCGACTAGGATCTTTCTTCAAGTATTTAATTGCATTCATAGCTGTTTTCATATGTGACTTTCTAGGATTACTCATATATTGACTTAACACCTGCATAATAAAACTCAAATCTAGACGAGTCATAGTCAGATACAACATTTTACCAATTAATCGTTTATATCTAGTTGCGACGAATAGAGGAGGATCTTTCATCCCCTTTCTAGGTTCATCATACAACTTTAAACTTTGAGCCATAGGAACATTCCTTGGCCTGGCAGCACTTAACCCAGTACTTGTGATTAGATATAAAGCATACTTTCTCTAATTTAAGATAACCCCCTTTTGTGATTTTGCTATTTCCAAACCTAGGAAATATTTCAAAAGGCCTAGATCTTTCATTTTAAAGTTACTATGAAGATAATCTTTTGTTTCTTTAATAAAGGAATTAGAATTTTCAGTAACAAGTAAATCATCTACACAGGCGAAAATTAAAACTAAATCCTTACCCTTTTGTTTAGAAAATAAGGAATAGTCATGTTTACTCTGTGTAAAACCTCTAGCAACTAAAGACTCAGATAATTTTAAATTCCACTGCCTTGATACTTGTTTTAGTCCATATAAAGACTTGACAAGTTTACATATCTTCTTTTCTCCATCTTTAGCAAAACCCTGAGGTATTTTCATTAAAAACTTCTTCAGTCAAGTCCCCTTGTAAAAATGCATTTTCCACATCTATTTGGCACATGCTCCATTTATTTTTAACAGCTAAAGACAAAACAATCCTAATAATGGTCATCTTCACAATAGGGGAAAAAGTGTCAAAGTAATCCACTCCTTCTATTTGAATATACCTTTTTGCAACCAACTTAGCCTTCACTTTATTTAATGTTCCATTAGCATTATATTTTTTCTTAAAAATCCATTGACACCTTATAGCTTTCTTATCAGTAGGAAGGTCAACTATCTCCCAAGTTTTATTTCTTTTTAAGGCATCTATTTCATTTTTCATTGCCTCCACCCACCTACTATCTATGGCTACCTTTTCAAAAGTATTTGGTTCCATGATCTCATTAGTGCATATTAGAAAATCCTTATAAGAAGATGACATGTTAAAGAAACAAACACTATGATGAATAGGATACAGAATTTTCTTTTTATTCTTGGATTTAACATTGTTTAAATGTACTAGTTTAGTGCAATCATAATCTTTAAGTCAAGTTAGGGTTTTTCTATTCTTAATAGGTCGTGATGATTGAGATTCGATATGAGGATGTAAATCAGAATCATTTTGAGTCACATAATCATTGCTACTATCAGTTGG